TCAAATTATGTTTGCAATCAGTAGAGAAATTACTGAGAACAGGAGGTTGTCATTTCAGCTCTGGTGCATTCAACCTTTCCTCTCACGGCGGCTGCTCCATACTTCTGATTGCTCTGCTCCTTCCTCCGTCAGCAGCTGATTCCGATAAATTGATTTTGATGATGTACTGAGAATTAGGCAGAGACTTCATTACACCAACTCGAGATCAGACTTAGGGAGACATAATTGAACCGTTACGAATCCCTCAATCTCGTTTAGATGATCAATTATTTTGTTTATCTCCTTCAGCAGGCTAATGGAAGCCCGGCAGGGCAGCAGCAAAGGAACCAAGGCACATAAGCTGGTTTGTAGGTGTCACTGAGGGAACTTTGTCACCTGAGGCAGCTCTGGACAAGAGTGTATTTAGAACAGGATCTGAACCAGGATGTAAGAATAGACACTGATCACAGCAAGCTGCTCCACATGTCTAAATGCAGAACAATAAGCATTTTTTCTTGTAAAAAAGCATATCCTTCAACATCAGCCACAAAGGGCTTTATCACAAAGACACAAATCTGATGGTGCAGGTAGGTGCTCGGTGCAAAGCACAAAAGCTCTGAGCAGAGGGTATCCAATTCTCATGCAAAGCCCCTGCACTTCCCAGAGCTTTAAAATGCAACACTTCCACCACTGTGATTGTAGCTCTTAAGTGCAAAGAATCGAAAAGCTGCAATCAGCAGAAAGGAGTGTGGCTCTCAGAAGCCCAAACGATGGTGCAGAGAGGAACGGGGCTGCTCACAGCCCAACGCTGCTCTTTGCCACTACAAAACTGCAAGGCCAGTTGAAACAACGCACATCTTCCAAAATGCTGAATGGTGATGAGATCCGAAATGAAAAGAGGTTTGCACCTCTGTGGTGCTCCTGTCACCATTCATAGCTGGAATGCTCCGAAGTGTGCAAAAGAGACAGGCACCCAAAACGCATCAGAAATTAACTCGTTTAAGCACTTTGGGACTCTCATCCACAACGATCATTATAATTATATAGCACTGTTATTACTAAGAGTAACAAGAGTGGTAATTATTACTGCTATCGCGTTATTATTGCTCTTAATACATCCTGTAGTATTGGAGATCAATTCGGCTTCGAGGGGAACCAGCAGCAGGGAGGTAAATGAGAGGGAGGGCTAAAGACAGCAACTGAATGCTAGGACAAACAATCCCTTTTTGGCAGCAAATGATAAAAGAGATCCAGCTGCCCTGGCTCCAAGGAGGGGTTTTAATACATCACCTGAAACAGCTGAAAAGCTTACAAAAATCTGGTTATATTTTTTAATCATCTTGCATTTTAGACCTTTAAAGTACAAATATGGATTTCAAACATATCAGGGGAACAAATTAACTTAGAAAAATGGCTGTACTTTCCAAGGTTGCACCTGCCATGAAATTGCTCCAAGTTTGCATTTTCCCTTAGTCTCTAGTGTGTCATTACAGCAGATTGATCGCCTTCCTCTCCCCAGCAACTCCCCCATTAGAGGGTTATTGTATGGAAATTAATGGGAGGCTAGAAACATTTCTTTTGCAGCTGCAGTAGTAGAAGTCAGTTCTGATTAAGCACTCCAAACCCAGCAGGCTGGGCTGATCTCTTTGCTTTCGCTCCCTCTTTTATTATCACCAGTGTCAAGTTTTGTTACTTTTGCCATTCCCCTGGTACTCCCACTGCATCCTTGTGTAATAATAGGGGTTATTTCTTTATGTGCACATCTATTTATTTTGAATACACACCGACGGATTCTCACTGGTACAAAATCCCCTTACACCACCTGTAACACGGCTGGAGGAATCATTTCTGCTCTGTACAAAGGCCTGTTAATGCTGCTGAGCAGAGTAAGGGAGCACTCAAGGAAACAAATATCAGCATCATAAATCTCTCTGTTAGTTACCCCTACAAAAGTGACGCCTGATGCCACATTTGATGCGTGCCTGCTCCACCTCTTATTCGTCTTGCTCTTTCCTACCTGCCCACCCTGCCCCAAACAGCAAAGTGGCTCTCATAAAAAGAGCCCATATGTTTTAAAAGACAGAAATTAATCAAAGCCGTGATGGAAGAGAGGTGGTGGGATGCTTGTAAAACTCATGACCGAGTACAACCTCAAAAGGCAGCACAGCTCTATTGCCTTGGCAGTTTCCTCTGCAAACAATGAACTCAATGTGTATAAAAACATAAGGAGGGAAGTTTCTTTTAAACCAATCACGCCACAAATCATGCAGTAATTGAAAAAAGAAAAGAAAAAAAAAGGAATTTCACACTGTGTCAGCTAGAATTACAATCTTGGAGTCTGAAAAGGGAAGGGGACCCTTTTTAGATGCTGTCCCTTTCTTGCAACTGCCCACACGTGCCCTAACACAGAGCAGTGATTTAGGAAACAGACCACGAGAAGATGGGTCGGCACCTACTTTCAGAGGAGGAAATTTCTCTCCACATAGCACCCACCTCATCCCCAGTCAATGTGCCTATGCTACGCACCAGCTGCAAAAAGCCAAGTTAAGCTTTTGAGAACGAAGCACCACAGTCCTGTACCAGAGATGTCCCCAAAGTCACCAGCCCAGGACAGATCCTGCTCAAACAGCGACCAGGCTAAGAGGTGCAGTAAGGACTGCTGCTTAGAGAAGCCATCAAGTGGCACCTCATAGCACAACAAGAAAAGCCTTTGAGGGATGTTATTTATAGGGCTCATAAAGATGCCTTTTGAATATCCATCAATCAAGCAGTCAGCGAAAAAGTCTGCTCAGCACACGGGAGAGTAGAAGGAGGGAAGAAAATTGGATACGGCATGCATGTGAGATGTGCAAGCTCACACAGCTCTGCTCTGTATGCCAACGGGACTCACAGACTGTTACAGAGCTCACCAAACCTGTAGGTGAATGGGCTGGAGATGGTCGCTGCCCTTATGGCTGCTTCCTTTGCTTCCTTACTGATGAAGGAACCAGCTGGTGACCCATGGTGAACATATTTTCTAGGACTCCACCTCTTTCTTACCACATTTTGTTGTGGCATTTATAAAGATGGCATTATAATACATTAGAGCAGCAAAATAAGATGCTTTGGGGCTTCTGTGCCTGGGAGTCTTCTTTGGTCTAACACAGGGCACAGTGAGGGCTTTTGTGTTGCTGATAATCAGAACCAAGAGGCAGAAGTTGATGTATGAGATATGGGGGATCTCTGAGAGGTGTCTTAACTCTTTGTTTTGGACTCACATTTGTTGGGTTCTGCCACTGCACCACTCCAGCCTCTGTGACCAACCGCCCTGCCCTGCATTCCAGCAAATGCACATCTCTGCATTTCCTTCCAAAGTGACATATATATTTAACGACAAAGTACTGCACTGTACAACCCCCCATTTATCTTGCTAAATGGCCGCAGAAAAGCTCTGACAAATGTATTTAACATGTAGACATCTATTAATTAATAAGTACATTACTTCGCAATCAATACTCGGTTGATCATATTGTTTAAATTATACATGTCTGATAGTTCCTGCCTTCCTCATCTGCTGTAAGGTACGTACTGAGACCGAGCAGTGCAGAACAGCTCTGCATTTTAGAAGTTTGGCTCAAATCATTTTTAAATAGACCGATCTTACGAACATATTCTGTTGCATAAAATTAGCCCTGATTACAGTCAGTTTATCACCCCAGCCTCTTCACAGTCCATTGATTAACCAGATACCAAGAGCAGTATATCCTCTTTACTGCATTTTTATTTTATTGCAGCAATGTTATTCTGTTTCAAACTCCTGACCGAGGCGTTCCTAGCAATTATTCCTCTTGGTCTGCAGAACACGTGCAGACAATTCTCAGCCTTGTCCCCTGTTGCCACGTGTATCACTGGAAGATACCAACCTTAATCCACACATCTCTGTCCTCAGAGCCACTATCGGACAACAGATCTCCTTGCATTGCCATCTACACAACAGCCTCTGCTGTGTTGTTTATGTACAGGTCATTCCTGTAGCTGGGTGCTATACCTTTGCTATACATTTGCTGCACGAGGCAGAGGCAGCAGGGAGGAGGCAGCAAGGGTGCTCAGGGTGTCCTACCAGCACTGTGCTAGAGAGGGTGCTCTGCCCTCACCAAACTCACTGCATCGGTTCCCCAAAGTTACACCTCTCCTCGCTCTCAGCCTTGCCATGAAATGGTGGAACAACGTGGCAGGGAGCCCCGAGAAGGCAACTGAGGGCAACGAGGGAACTGCTAGGAGCTGAAACCCCCACCCTACACACAGGAATGCATTTCAGAAACAAGCTGTGTGCTCTGCATCAGCCAGCACCTGAAATTGGGTCTGAGTTCCTGGAGCAAAGAGCCTGAGGGCTGCCAGTTTGTGCCCCATCCCTTCCACTTCAGAGGCTGAAATTCTACCACGACCAGATCAGAGCTCCTCAGTGAGCAGAGCTTCTCATCCAAACACCGAGATTTTGCTGGAAATACCTACAACCATAAATTCCAGATTCATTTCCTATGAACGGTTTCAAGCATTTATCTAAACCTTGCCCTTTTAGCAAAGCCATTAAGCAAGCTCACTGCAATGTTCTTGGACTAAGAGGGACACTTAATGCAGCCAAACAACCTAAAAGCTAAAATGAGCATTCCCAGAAGCATTCATCCATCTCTGCTGTTGCACAACTCGCTCTGCTCTGCAAAGAAGAATAGCACTGGGAACACAGCTATCCAGAGCTACAGGGGCCAAGCAAAGCTCTCACAGTTGGAGGAAGCTTGTGTGATGATTCAACATAACCCAAAGCACAGCTCTTAGTAAAGCTGGAATACACTGTGATACAAAGCTGCACGTGGACCTGATGAGTTTGGATCTGGCAAAAGGCAAAGCGGAATCCAATCTATGCGAAGAAGAGCATAAGGACTCTCACAAACCCCAAATTATTAACACAAAACTCAACATTCTGAGCCATGTTGTATAGGGTCGGCCTGGAGCTGTGGCTGTAACCCAAATAACAGACTTCTTACCTGGACATCAGGACCAGGAGCCCAAGGACACACAGTGCTGGTGATGAGTTGGAGAGCATGAGTTGGTTCTACTTCGTTGTGTCTGAAACAATTCTGAAACGTTTCTGGAGGTCAGAACATGCAGCCACGGAGGATGTTGCAGTACCTGTGATAAAAATAAAAACATAATGTGTTCTGATAGCTGGATTGAAAATTAGCTTAAGGGTCTCCATGCATTGCCTTCTTAATGGTGTGAAACATAATAGCCTCAACTGTAATAAAGATGAATTACTTTTTCATAAAATGATGAAACTCCAGTAAACACTCAAGGTTTATCACTTAATTTGTCCCCAGTGCTCACACAGACTATTTTTTTTGCTACCCTATTTTTAATATTCTCAGTGATTAGATTTCAATAACCCGCTCCATAATAACGTGTGTCTCATTTCCCTGGACAGACAAAATAGGCCATAACTTCCTCTCCGTTAGAGCACTAATGCTGTAATTTAGAACTTCTGTCAAGATGAAAGATCTTCCCAGGGAGTTGCAGCAGGCCCATGGCAACACTTCGGCACAGGGCTGGATAATGAAGTTTTCATTATTAAATAAAGATATTTTAGGAATGTCATAACCCATAAATCCATTCTTCTACGACGCAGCAACTCATCACTTTGTTTATTTCTCATCCACGGGCTCCATCCCACCCCTCTTAACTCCCCTTATTTTGGTCCTGGTTGGCTCTGGAGCCAAGGGCTGATGGGGAAAGGGCTCACATCCCCTCTCCAGCAGGCAGCCTGAGCACTGACATTAATGTCACCTGGAGGAAACGTTAATGCATCCCATCGTCAAGCTTGGGAGCATCTAGAATTATGGAAGAGAATTGAGGTTTTATTTTCAGAAGGAGGTTTAGTACCACTGAATGGCATGGAATGGTTTTTAGGTAGAGGCAGGGAGTGAAAGCAAAGGCAGATTTGCAATAAAAAAGTTTCCCAGGACATGCGGCTCATTGAGATTAATCAGTGGGTAGCAGCAGGGTAACTTGCTGCCTTCTACAAGCACGTGAGAAAGGAAATCATGAATTGGACAAAGGCAGGTCTACTCACCTATAAGAAACCTACATTTATTTCTGGAATGCAAAAACAAACCATAAAACCTATCAGCACGTGAATTAATTGAAAATAAATTTCCCTTCCCCACGTTAAGCAAATAGGAAAGTCTGTGACAGCACTAATGCTGTCTGTAACGACTTGCTAAGATCCTACTAATTTAAAAAATAATAATCTCATTTGAAGGCAGTTGAATGGATTCTGCATTTCTACAAAGCATTGGGAAGGCAACATTAACGTGAACCTGGGGCTGACTGCTACTCACTTAGCTGCGATTCAATTCAGTGGAGAAAAACACCCATTTCATTAGCACCAAGAAATAACCACTAGCCACGCAATAAATTTGCTCCATTTGCCGTAGCAACTGCTTTGATATTGTGTTTTCAAGTTTAGAATTTTAATGCTTTAACTGCAGCCCTAATTTCACATCACCAGGCTGAATTCATCCTACTCACGCCTTTCTCCCTTTCCTTGGGACAAAATCAGAGTGGGGGGAAGGAGGAGAGTTTACTATTCAAATCCAGATCCCACCTTAAAAGAACATTCAAAAGCACTTGGGATTTTGAACTGCTGCATTTTGATGATGGAGCAGTCCTTGCCAAATTCAGTTGTTGCCTTCAGCAACATGAATAAGGATTCCAGATTCTGCAGAGCAGATGCATCCTCTGCTGTTGCCAAAGACAGTACGGTTGCATAGGTAGCAGAGATGACACAGTTTAATTTTGCAACTTGAAAGTAGCCAAAGATACCGTGCTGGCTGCCAAACCCAAATTCCATTGTCACATTGGGATTTCAAGTCTTACAACAATGAATGTGAGAATCGTATTTTTCCACTTATGAGAACAGATGCACCTTGGCATCCGTTCTTGGGGAACAGGGGCAGGTGTGCTGGATAGGAAAAAGCCAATGCAAACAGACTGAACAAGAAGCTTCCTGCCTTGCTTTTCGCTGCTGCTACAAGCAGAATTCTTGGTAGGCATTCCAGTATCAGCTCATCACTTGTGCCATCTCAGAATCACGCCTACTCTTCTTGGGGCTCTTGGTCTTTTAGCAGCTTTGTTTCAAGCAATTTTGAACTTGAATTTGACCAGCACAGACAGAGTTTTTGATTTGCACAAATGGGTTTCAATAGCAATAAGTAGGCAACTTTGAGTTTCCATATTTCTATGAAAATAGTTTCGAATTTTCATTTCAGTGTTCCCACGATAAAGCTCAAGAACAGCTCAAGGCAAATTAGAACCAAAGGAAATGCTGCACGTAGATAAGAATCTCCTTTGAAATCTTGCTTTTGTCTTCCTTAAAGTAAATAAAGAAAGAAATACAGAGGAAAAGCAAAGGAAGACGGTGCAAGGACAGAACTCCCCCAAGGAACAACACTACGGCCACTAGATGTCTGTATTGACTCAAAATCACGACCTGGCCAAAGGGACAGGATGCCACATAGCTACTTGGGTAGATAAAAGAAGTGCTTTCCATCTTCTCTAGTCTTTATCACGTTGGCAGGGCTCTCAAAGCCCGCTCTTCTCTTTCGCTCATTATCGTATCGGAGGCATCTTTTGGGATAAAGTTCAAGCCACCTTTGCTCCCTCCTTCAGGGAGCATTAATTAGGCTGAGGTCGTTCTCACAGTGCGTTGGGTGGGTGGCTGGGCTGGAAGCCCTGGTGCTGTTCTTGGAAGCTCTTCTATTTATGGAAATTAACATCTTTCATTTCACTTAATTAAAGCACCCAGGAGCTATGGGGCTCGTGGTTTTCAGGAGATTAAAGCATGCTTTTAGAAGGCAGAGAAGGGCCAAAGCCTGAAGCTTAAATCTGAACCAACTGAGTATTTAGTGGGAAGAGAAGACTTAGATTCAAATGCAGGCAGCTGGGATTCAGGAGGTTTGTAACTGCGTTCTGTAATTCCTAATGAGAATGGACAAAATAACAAAGGAAAACACATTCAGGGATGGATTTCTGTCTGCCCAAGGCCATACGTAGTCAGGAAAAAAGACAAATGGCAATAAATACTACACTGCACCTTTCTGATTTACCGAGTTCTCACCAAACCAAACATTCACCTAAAGAACCAAACCAACATTAAGACTGCAGAAGACAGCGGACCGTTGCCAGTGCAACTGTGGTGAGATCAGCTCCAAGCCCACTCCATGTTGTGAGTGACTATTTCAGACAAGCACCTAAAGCCATTTTAAAATGGAAAAAAAAAAAAAAAAAAAAAAAGGCAAAAAAAACATCTACACAGACTATAACCCAGGTGTTCCAGCTAGTTTTAGAAATAACTAAATCTGATATACACACAGTGCAGGGAGAAGGACTCACTGCCATCTAAACTGGGTTCATAGGGTGCATGCTGATGGCCTGTTTCTATGGAGGAAATGCTTTCTCTCTTTCCAAGTTGCAGAGAAAAAGCAGTCTTCATTTTGACATCGTCAATTCACTGCTGTGGCTCCAAGATGCTCACGCTACTGGCAGTAGACAGGATGCAGAATGAAAATCACGCGTGCCTCCCAAAGTTGACTTATTTTTTCATTTTAAACTGCGTTTAAGAAGGTTACAAAATGGTTTTTGGCAAAAGTACCATGAGAAGTGGTCCTTCCAGACGGGGCTCAGCAGCAGAGGACAACACTGAGGGGTGCCTGCTTTATCACTCCTTCGTTTCTTATCAGCAAGGAGCTCCCCAGGGATCCCCATGAAAATGCCACAAGAAAACACTCTGTGGCTCCAGCTGGCCAGCGAGGTATTGGAGCAGAGAAATGAATCTGCTGAGCTGATGAAGCTTAGATCAGAACTGTGTAAATACTGTGCAAAAGAATTTGCAAACATTTGTTCAAATCAAGGCTTGGAATTCGTTTCAACAGTCCCCACGAGTCATAATGTCTCTTGGACACCCTGCTGGAGCACTTGCACAAATGAACTGTTGTTTAAAAGAGCGTTCAAGACAAAGCGTCGTAAGAAACACAGGCAAATACATGCTCAGTTCTGAGCAGTTATGCAAATATTTCCTGCGATGAGTAACGACACCAAGGACTTTCCCTGCTATTTGTGAACATGGGGAGCCATCAGTCTCACAGTCTAGAACGTGGACTGTGGAGCTCAGATCACGGAGTGTGAGAGAGGAGTCCTGACAGAGTCGCCTCAATGCCTTTGAAAACTATTCCCCAAATGTCACCCAAGTCATTTCAAAGCCTCTGAACCCCTCTTGGTGCAGGGATCTGCGTATCCTAAGGCTGTTGCAAACATCTGTCTCAGCACCTGTCAGTAATTTCCTAACATCGCGCCTTCAGCAACGCCAACGTTCCTCTGTAACCCACAGGTGGACCAAAAGGTTAAAAAAATATATCACAAAACAGGGCAGCTGCTGCTTTATAACAGACTGAGCAACGTGGGACTTCTAAGGCACAAGAGGAGGTGAAAAGTGGAAATCCAGCATGTTAGCGGAGCACTAAGAAGTCAGCAGCAAGATCGATGGGTGGGAGATGGGAAGGAGATGCACCAGAGGAAAGCTACTGTGGGGTTCTGGCACTTGGCCCCCCACACCAAGCTCCTGCTAGCTCAGTCAAGCTCAATGAACCTAACACTTAGCCAAAAAAGCCTTTGACAAGCTGGATCTTGAAGGAAACAACGCCCTGACAACACTTGTATTTGCATAAATATTATTTAATCAGTTCTGTGCCATCTCATTTTCACAGCAGGCTGTGCCCAAACCATTTCCAAAAATGACTCTGAATGCATTTCATTCTGGTGGGAATGGCTCTCGTTGTGACAGCTCCTGAAGGCAGAGAGCTCTGAGCAGAGGCTGCGCAGGGACACGGAGCACAGACACCCTCTGCAGTGCTGCTGATTCCAGCACGGCTCGGAGAGATGCTTGCATTCACGTCCAAGTTTGGCCTACAGGATTCCATGCATTTAGCAAAGCAGTGAGCAGGGTGGATAATTTTAACACAACCACTTCTATTCTGGGATTTTGGGACTCAACTCATTTCTAAGAAGCCGTTCACCAGACATTAAAATTATGTACTGTGAATAGCACTGCTCCTGAGCTAACAAATAATTCCTGTGCT